AATATCTCCATCTCGGTACTTATATCTCTTTTTTTCCTTTGTATAAGATCGGAGTTTGCTATTGTCAATTTATATTGTATGTAGTTCACGTGTCATCACTTGAGAAATGATTTTAATAATTTGTTACTTAATAATACTGTTGTCATGACATTACAATTATATTCATTTCTACCATGTGTAGATATTTCCTCTTCCATATTTATGTACATTGCTACAGTGATTATACTGCATATTTTATTCCCTCTTCTAAAAAACTATATTAAAATATGTATAATACTAAAATCATTAAAATTAAATTAGATATATTAAAATTGATCGATGGCGGAAATTTAAAATCTAACAAAATTCTTTATTAAATACAGAAATGCACAATAGTATAAATTATACATAGTCATAAGAAATTTTTATTTTTTTCTGAGTATACACCTTTACTCGTCTCACAATGACATGTAACTTTTTATTTATTGTATATCTGTTCATTGCAATCTGTTTCAGCCTCAACCATGCTAATAACATATTTCTGGAATAACTGGAGGTATAGTAATGCCCCAGAGGGCCAACGGCCATTTGAAAAAGTGGTTGGGCTAAGTAAATATGGATTTATCACTAGTCTTGGGATTGGCACGTTCGATTCTGTTTTTATATCTCAGACAGCAGGCTTCTGGAATACAGTAAATTGCATGTCTTACTGGGTGGTACCTATTACTGCCATGTGTGCTACCTTTGCCTCTGTAGCTTATACAACGACAAAAATTAGAGGGAAAGACGGCTATTTCAATTATGTTTTAGCCTGTATGTAATGTGTAAACGTATCAGCTATATATTCATCAGGAATAATTATTAAATTTCAATGTTTACTCGTTGCAGCATTAGCCGCAGGTGGAATCTTATATCGCTGGCAGAAGAATGGCCCATTAACTCATAGTTGGACAATCGCAATAATTGCATGTGCCATAACGAAGAAGTTCGGTGATCTGACTGATTTTAAACCCTTTCCGTTACATCCAGTAATTCGAGAAGAACATACTTCTTTCCCATTTGACATGACCATCATTAAGGATATCAGGGGACCTAGACCCTGGGAGTAATGACATTTCGTATACAAAAGAAGAATAATTAGTACTGCTGATATATAAATCAAACGGGGATAAGTCATATTGTATAATTAATGATACAAAGAGATACGAAATGCATATATTTTGCTTTCGTCATGTATTTATTCGATTCTAGTACAGGAAATAAAAAGGATTACAAAAAGAATGTACTGTGTATGGAAGTATTATGTCAGCGTTTCACCCTTTGTGACCTATGAAACAAATGCAATTATCAGACTACTAATATAAGTAATGTAAAATAAATAGTAAAAATGTATGATACAACAATACCACAAGGGAAGTGATACATTATAAGTAAACAAAACTAAGAACAGATTGTTATCTATATTCACAATGTAATTAAAATGTAAATAAATAAAAAACAAATTACTTACGCATGCTTCGAGATATTCTATTCTCCGTTCGAGAGTTGTGAGCTTCTCATTGAGGACTGCTATTCTTGACCGACAAGACATATCTAACAAAAAAAATATATAAATAAAATTAAAGATATTAATTTAACAGCACTTTTGCGAACACAATAAGAATTTAATGATAAATTACCGAAAGAATTAAGAAAGTCCGTAATCTTTTTAATACTGCCAGTAATAACTTCTATGTATTCGCGGTTAGCCCAATCTTGTTGAATCTGTTTTTGTATTGCTTCTCGATGTATGGCTGCCATTCTCCTTGTCACTACGGTATATTCTCTTCCCTGATTTTTTTCTGGCTAAATTGCCGATATTACTCAAACGATGAGCGAAGAGTGTTTCTCGATAATTCTATCACATTGTTTGTATTGTTGGAATGTGTCAGTAGTGTCAGATGTTTAGATCGTAGATGCGTACCATGGGTGTGATCCACTTAACGTTGCAAACACTTCGTTGACTAATCAGAAGAAAGAATTTTACGAATTGACGAATCAAAGAATGGCTGCGTTCAGCAGAGAAAGCAGCTTTGCAACTGTGTAAAATTCTTGAATATGATTGGTTTATACATTTTGATCCAATGAGGAACTAAGGGCAAGACCAATCATATTGAAGAATTTTACAACAGTTGCAAAGCAGCTTTCTCTGATGGGGATCGATTCTGTATCTTGAAACGAGGTAAAAATTACAAAAGTGAGCAAATTTACTAGGTGTTAACCAATGGAATTATCAGTATTCTAGTAAATTCGCTCACTTTTGTAATTTTTACTTCGTTTCAAGATAGAGGGGGTCGATTCTGTATTTTCAATCAAGGGGGTCGATTCTGTATCTTCAATCAAGGTGAAAATTACAAAAGTGAGCAAATTTACTAGGTGTTGGCCAATGAAATTATCAGTATTCTAGTAAATTCACTCACTTTTGTAATTTTCACCTCGTTTCAAGATACAGAATCGATCCC